AACAAGAGCGAAACTCCATCTCAAAAAAAAAAAAAGAAAAAAGAAAAGAAAAACCTTATCTTTTGCGTCTTCATTTTATTATCTCACTTTTTCTCATTTTATTTCCCAGAAAGCAGGCTCGAGGGGCCCACTGATCTATTCTGCGTTAGAATGCTGTGTGCTCTCTGAAGCAGTGGTTATCACCTGGGTGGGTGAGGGGGATCATTTGGCAATGACTACAGACGTTTTTGGTTGTCCCAACTTGGAGTGGGGAATTGCTGCTGGTATCTGGTGGGTAGAGACCAGGGATGCTGCTAAACATCCCACAGTGCACAGGACAGCTGCCTATGCACAGAATAACGCAGCCCCAAATGTCCAAAGTACTGAGGGCCAGGAGCCTTGTCCCAGGGAGGAACTGCCTCCCAGGCGCAGGCCTGGGAGCAAGGAACAGGTGGCGGCACCCAGTCCTCTCCTGCAATTACTGCTGCTCTAAGCTCAGGCTCTGGGGGCGCTGTTAGGCTGCTCTTTCAGGTCCTTAAACTTCTCTCTTGATGATTTGGGGCTAATTCCACAGGTCTGGGAGGAAGAACAGTGTGGGGCACACACTGAATCCCACCATGGAGCCTCCCTCCCCTCGGATATTCAGTCCAGATCCTGACCCTGAGCCAGCGTGGGCAGCCCCCTCCACTTCCATCTCCACCCCAACCCGCGGCCACCCAGCAAGCTCCCCACCTACCCAGCCTTGCAGAGAAACTGACTTTCTCCTTCCTTCCATCATCATTTATGGAAACTCTCGGACCAGGGCTGACCACAGGTTCCCAGCTATCTCACCCTTCCGGGGTCCATTATGTAGCAGCCCTGGGGCCAGGGTTCCCACGCTGGGATGGAACAGTGCCTTCAGATATGTAAGCAAAACTTTACAAGGAGGCACAGTGGAAATTGACATTGAATTACAGAAGAAGCAGTGATCTTGGAAATAAAAGTTTTTTAGGTTTGCACCTTGACTGTGCCTTTTACGAACTGTTTAATCAAAATTATTTGCACCTCTATGAGCAAGCCTGGGTCTCTTGTTTTCATCAGGATTGCAATGAGAATTAAATTAGATAGGCCGGGCGCGGTGGCTCACACCTGTAATCCCAGCACTTTGGGAGGCCGAGGCGGGTGGATCACGAGGTCAAGAGATCGAGACCATCCTGGTCAACATGGTGAAACCCCCGTCTCTACTAAAAATACAAAAAATTAGCTGGGCATGGTGGCGCGTGCCTGTAATCCCAGCTACTCAGGAGGCTGAGGCAGGAGAATTGCCTGAACCCAGGAGGCGGAGGTTGCGGTGAGCCGAGATCGCGCCATTGCACTCCAGCCTGGGTAACAAGAGCGAAACTCTGTCTCAAAAAAAAAAAGAGAATTAAATTAGATAATGGGAAACAAGACCTGTGATTAGCCCACTAAGTACTGGTTTTCTGCCCCTATTCTCCCTTTTCTCTGATGGATCGAGGCAGCATTCCTAATTTTAATAATGATGATAATAAGGATTAAAGTTGCCAAATCTACTTAGGGCTTACTGTGTGGGAAGCAGTCTACCGTTTAATCCCCACCCTATCCCAATGAGGAGATTCGAGAAGCTTCTATGCACACCTTCCTCTCTCTCGACATCATTTCTTCCCCTTGCCCCTGGCCAGCCTTTTCTTGTCCCTCCTCACCCTGACCTGCCAGAGCAGACCTCCCTGCACCCAGGACCCACCCTGCTCACCTGGGACACAGAGAAGGAGCAGAGCTGAAGGCAGCCCGGGAGCCCCAGCCCTCTGGGTCATCTCACCAGCACGGAAGTCCCTTGTGGCAGCAGGGTCTGAGGCTGGAGCCCAGTCACAGAGGGTCAGCTCACCTGTTCCCTCTTTGCTGTTCCAGACACCGCTCGTTTCCTTCTCCAGCCTCTTCTGTGTTTGGTTTTCAGAGCTGGTCAGAGCATAGAGGAAGCCGGGAACACAGGGCACTGTGTGGTCAGGTGAAAACAGTGCTGAGAACTGGCTGAAGCTCTTCCTAGTAAAACATGTTTGCATTTACAGTTCCCCTTTCTGTTCCCAGTGAAGACAACGTTCCCCCCATTAACCACAGCTGGTAGACCTGCCCTTCTCCAAATCACAGCACAGCCCGGGACAGCAGTGAGACTGGGCCAGCTGCCATCTGCATTTTCTGGGCAGGTCCTCCCCTCCGCGAATGGTCAGTTTCCTGTGGTCGGCATGAGCTGTCCCAGGGCCTGGCTCAGCCTTCTCTGGATGAGACCAGCTATTTGCAGGGCCCAGTGTAGGGTTCCATGTAGGGTTACAAAATGATTAAGAATTTCAAGAATTTCAAGATGATGACAGCCAAGCATCAAGCATGGGGCCCTTCTAAGAGCGGGGCCTGTGAGGCTGCATGGGGTGGGGGCACACCCAGGATGCCCGCTGGTCTATCTCCGATCCTTGGTGGTACAGATGGGATGGGTGCAACCTCGGGGGTTCTGACCTCTTACCCCCTGGCTCTTGCTCTGACCTCAGCAGACCCCAGAGGTTCCTGTCTTGGTCATGTTCTCCTGACCGTTTCTGCAGACCTGGCACCCAGCAGGGCTTGACGGACTAGCTACATATAAGCCTTGCTTTTGAGCTGTGTGGCTCTTCCTGTCACCCAAGATGGTCACAGAAAAGTTTCAATAAATCAAGAGCTAACTCGGGGGAACCTGGCCAGAAGCTGCCCGATATACACAGAATGGCTGCACAGGATGTATAAATGCCGGCACAGCTTCAGGACGCCTCATCTGGGGACTTGGATCCTTGGAACGAGGAAACTAACATCCTGGCATTCTGTACCAAATGTCTCCTCCTACGTTGGTGTCTCAGTAAGTGTATTTTCTGCTTGTTCATTTTTGCTGCATTTGGAGTCCTCATATTTTCTGTGTGTGTGCACCTGTGTGTGGTGGATGGTATATGTGTGTGGTATGTGGGATATATATGTAGTGTGTGAGGTATGTGTGTATGTATGTACATGTGATGTATGTGCGTGGTGTGTGGGGTGGTGAGTGTGGAGTGTGTATGTGTGATGTGTGTGGCAAGGGTGTGTGTGAGATGTGTGTAGTGTGTGTATGTGTGTATATGTGGTGTATGTGTGTGGTGTGTGGAGTGGTGTGTGGAGTGTGTATATATGCATGCATGTGGGGGTGTGGGGGGTGTGGGGGGGTGTCCATGCGTGGTGTATGTGTGTGGTGTGTGGGGTGCTGTGTGTAGTGTGTGTTCATGTAGTATGTGTGGTGTCTGAGGTGGTGTGTGTATATGTGTGCATGTGTGGGAGTGGGGTGTATGTGTGTACATGTAGTGTACATGTGTGGGGTGTGGAGTGGTGTGTGTAGTGTGTGTATATGTGGTGTATGTGTTTGGTGTGTATAGTGTGTGTATGTGTATATGTGTAGGGGTGGGGGTGTGTGTGTATGTGGTGTGTGTGGTGTGTGAAATGGTGTATGTAGTGTGTGTACGTGTGTGCATGTGTGGGGTGGGGGTGGTGTGTGTGCATGTGGTGTATGTGTGTGGTATGTGGGGTGGTGTGTGTAGTGTGCACATATGTGTGCATGTGTGTGTAGTGTGTGTACATATGGTATATGTGTACAGTACAGTGTGTGGAGTGGTGTATGTAGTGTATGTATGTGTATGCATGTGTGGGGTGGGGGTGGTGTGTGTGATATGTGGGGTGGTGTGTAGTGTGTGTATATGTGTGCATGTATGGAGTGGTTTGTGTAGTTTGTGTACATGTGGTGTATGTGTATATGTGGTGTGTGGGGTGGTGTATGTAATGTGTGTATGTGTGTGCATGTGTGGTGTGTAGGGGTGGTATGTGTGTGTACATGTGGTGTTTGCATGTATGGTGTGTGGGGTGTCCGTTGGTGTGCACATGTGTGTGGAGGGGAAGCAAGAGCTGGGAGTGATAAGATGTCTCCCCTCGCAGCCTGCACAGCCAGTTTTGAGTCCCTCAAAACTGGTCCTCGGTTTCCCTGGAGTTGTGACAAGGGCTGCTCAATGCGCCTTTCTCGGAAGGCAGGGATCTGAGTCTGTGGAGAAGATGGCACACGGCTGCAGACTTTTCCAGAAGGCGCTCTCACCATCTTTGTCCACACAAGCCGCCGGGTGCACAGGTTGTATTAGTCAGCTCTTTCTGACTCACGTTGCCATAGCAAAACTCCCAAATCTCAGCGTGTTATAGCCACAAAAGCTTGTTTCTTACTTGTCTACATGCAAGCGGTGGGTCAGCATTGCCTGGGCACCAGGCTGCCGGAGCCCAGTCTGCTGGAGGAAAGGGAAGTCACTGGGTGGCTCTCACGGCCTCTGCTCCTGCTCGCCTGAAGTCAGTGGGAAGGAGAAGTACAGTCCTCCCGCAGGGCGAGGCAGCAAGTCGCTGCCCACAACCACAGACCCCACCACTGGAGGTTCCCTAACCCAGCTGGAAGGGACCCCGCAGCATGTGGACTCTGTGGCTTCTCACTTATCCCAGGTCAGGGCAGGGAGAGGCTGCAGGGTCTGCTTAGAAATAGCCAGTGTGAGTTTCATGTTTTTAGCTAGGACCAGACACTTTGCCAAATGCAGAGGCCATGGCAATGCCATGGGGAACCCAACTTTGAAGCAGATGTGCTCTGGACCCTGTAGTTCCCCAGGAGATGACAAATTCCTTGAAGAGATGGCCCCCATCTGGGACACCCAGGCTTTTTCCATGTCAAGGCCAGCATCTGAAGCCGCTGTCCCCTCCCGAGCAGGCCCTTGTCTTCCTGTCTCTGAAACCTGTCCTGTAAAATGCTCTCCACTCCAGGAGGGCGGAGCTGGGGGAGGATGGAGAATAATGAACACTGAGGCACATCAGGGCAGGGAGCCAGGGGCCCCGCCTGGCACTGCAGCACACTGAGACTCCGACCATCACTGACCTTGGAGGACAGCTCTCAGGGCTCCCAGAAAGTTAAGATCTCATCTGGGAGGGGTGCGTTCTTAGGGCAAACTCCGGGCTTGTGATGTCTAGGACAGAGTGCACAGCCCCACACACTTCTCTCTGTCTTTCCGGGCTACGCTTGTCTTTCTTCTTCCTCGAAGGCCGCCGTCCTTCCTCCCTTCTCATCCTCCCAGGATGACCTCTCCTGGAAGGCATCCCTGCCTGCTCTGGACCTTCCAGACCACTCCCTCTGGAGTCCCTGTTACCTGCAGTGTTTATTTCTGTATTTAATCTCATGTCCCTGTGTTGTCATTGTCCTGTTGCATGGGGTGCATTTCCAGGTCAGGCTGTAGCCTTCACAAAGGCAGGACCAATCTGGGCACCCAGAGATCAGACAGAGTTCAGCCTCAGCCTCGTGAGCTGAATTGGAGCGTGAGAGGTCCAACCCTTCCACACTTTCCAGGAAAGGGGATCAGGAATGTATGAAGGCCTTGGGCCTCTTTTCTCTCACCTCTCCTATCCCACATCAATCCATTTGGAGAGTGGTTCTCAGTGACCTGTTGCATCATGGTGAGAATGGACAAGCGCCCAAGGGTGGTGGACCCGCTGCCAGCTTTCCTCCCTCCCCACTGGGCACTCAAGGGAGACGTCAACAAATGGGAAGTCTCCCGACTAGCTCTGGGCAACAGATGCCTCTTTGGGATCTTGTTACAAATACCAGGCTCTTTAGGGAGCAGGGTGTGGGGAGGGTCTTCCCAACGTAAGGGGCTGGGGCACTGTAGGGAGCCTTGCTCAGGGAGGGTCTCTACCTGACTCACATGGGCCATGTAGTAGGGTGAGGAAGGTTCTGGCCTTGAGCTGGGAGCCCTGCGCTCAGATTTTAAGGTCTGCTATTCACTAGTTACAGGACTTCAGGCAAATCAACAAAAATTTCTTAGCATCAGTCTCGTCATCTATGAAATGGGAATAAAAATATTCACCCTGCTCAATCCCAGGAGTTGAGCAGAGGCATTTGAAGGTGGTGGCATCCCTCCGAGGAGCTTTCCTCTTTTGATCTACATACCGTGTACTCTGTGTATTTAAATTCTGCACACCCATCCCCATGCCCCTGCCAGATCACTTTTAAATAAGATAACTGGAGCGGGAAAGATGAACTAAACTGTCATAATGGGAAGTGGGGAGGGCAGGATTTGAAACCCGGTCCCTGGTGGGGTCCCAGCTCTGGTTTTTGTAGGGATTGCAACACTCAGGCGGGGGTAAGATGGGCTGAGAGATGGCAAGTGGAAGAGGCCACCCTCTAAGACTTATTTCACTCAGTATCTGTTTCTGGAGCAGCAGGAAGTATCTTCAGGGGAAGTTAATAATACAACAAAGCCTGCTTCTGGGTCTCTGCTATGGATTGATGGGTTCCCCCCAAAATGTGTATGTTGAACCCCTAACCCGTAATGTGGTGATATTAGGACATAAGGCCTATGGGAGGTAATTAGGGTTAGATGAGGTCATGAGGATCGGGCCCTCATCATGGCATTAGTGCCCTTATCAGAAGAGGAAGAAAGAGAGCTCACTCTTTCTTAGTCCGTTTAGGCTGTTACTTCAAAATACCACAGACTGGGTGGGTTATAAACAACAGAAATGTATCACTCACAGTTCTGGAGGCTGGAAAGTCCATGATCAAAGTGCCAGCAGATTTGGTGTCTGTGGAGGGCTCACCTTCTGGTTCATAAAGAGTACTTTTTTGCTGTCTTCATACGGTGGAAGGGGAGAGACAGCTCTCTGGGGCCTCTTATATAAGAGCACTAATCCTATTCACAAGGGCTCCACCCCCACAACTGAATTATCCCCAAGGATCCACCTCCTAATACCATCACACTGGGGACAGGTTTCAACACGTGAATTCTGGAGAAACGCTAACACTCAGACCATAGGACTCTCTTTGCCATATGAGGATACAGAAAGATGGCGGCCATCTGCAACTCCGAGTCCTCACCAAACACCAAACCTACCAACATTTTGATCTTGACTTCCCAGCCTCCAGAACTATCAGAAATAAAGATCTCTTGCTTATAAGCCACTCAGTTTATGGTATTTTGTTACAGCAGCCTGAGCTGACTGAGACAACGTGCTGGTGTCTGTCCCGACTCTTCACTATTCTGGGTTTTCAGCAAGCATCACCTGTGCTCCTTTTCCCTGGAGGAGCCCTGGCTGGGACAAGACCTATGTTTGCGGAAATAGTGATAACCTCTAAACCCTTGGAATATCTTGGCTGGTTAGTGTGTCTTTGTTTATCTGGGGGCTTTGAGCCATGCTGGATAGTTCATACCGGAAATGTGATTATGGCAGGGGCTTCTAGCCATCTGGATGGTTGGATGCTATCAGTGTAATTCCTCAGGGTGTTGGGAGAACCTTGAACCATGCACTTTAGTTTGACCTCTGGAGGCTCGGTAACTGAGGTCAGTCCTACAGGTGCTCCATGGCTATATGACTGACCCCAGTGACCTCTGTGGATACCAAGGCTTGGGTGAGCATCCCTGGTTGGGACGCTTTGTGTGTGTTGTCACACCTTGTTGCTAAGATGGAAGCATTAAACGCTGTCTGCAAAATTCCACTGGGAGAGGACAGCTGGCCGCCTGCACCAAGCACTTTTTACCTTGGCTAGTTTTCATCAATATCCTTTCAGTGTAATAAACCGTAACCGTGAGCATAACGGTTTTTCTGAGATCTGAGTCCTTCGAGGGTGGCCGAGTCCAAAGCTCAAACTGCTTGCCAGCAACAGCCAGTAGGTCGAGAGACAAGCTGCTAGAGCAAGAAGGATGGTTTTACAAGCCAGCAAACCAAAGAGATGGCAGGCTCATGTCTTAAAGAACCATCTTAAAAGGCATGAATCTCAAGCTGCTTCTTATACTGGGGAAGGCAGAACAAGGAGGAGGTTGAGCCAAGAAGTGACAGGTGACCACAGCCATCTGGGCGTCAGCTGAGGAGGTTGTATAACTTCTTTGTCCTTGGTCAGGTCACAGTGCTCCTATAAATCTTTAGCATAACATTGTTACCTGCGTGTATGTCTCCTTATCATTTCAGGGATGTTGCAAACGGACTATTATCATCCTTGCTTTAAAGTTATCAACTATAACCGGGCACGGTAGCTCAGGCCTGCAATCCCAGCACTTTGGGAAACCGAGGCAGGCAGATCACCTGAGGTCAGGAGTTTGAGACCAGCCTGCCCAACATGGTGAAATCTGTTCTAGTAAAAATACAAAAGTTATCCAGCTATGGCGGTGCATACCTGGAGCTACCTGGGAGGCTGAGACAGGAGAATTGCTTGAACCCAGGAGGCAGAGGTTGCAGTGAGCCAAGATTGTGCCAGTGCACTCCACCCTGAGCAACAGAGTGAGACTCTGTCTCAAAAATAAATAAATAAATAAATAAATAAACTATAAACTAAATTTCTCCCACGGTTAGTTCGGGTTATATGCCAAAAGATAGTATTGCAGGGTAGGGGTGTGGTCAGGAGCAAATGGAGTTAGTTATTCTAGACCTGCTTTTCATGGTAACACTACTGATTCATTAAACCTGGGAGTGGTCTTGGGTGCCCCCAATAAGAGATGGAAAGTTTGACTGAATTTTAGTGCAACGTGATTAGAGAGCCACCTGTTGTGATGACAGGGAAAGAACATAAGGTACCATGAAGCTAGATTCCAAGGAAAAAGGGTGTTTACCCAGGAGTACTAGGTCCCACAGGTGTAGGAGGAAGTATGAGCCTAGGAGTTCGAGACGAGCCTAGGCAACATAGCAATACTTCCTCTCTGCCAAAATAAAAAATAAATTAGCTGAGCATGGTGGTGCATGCCTGTAGTCCCAGCTACTCTGGAGGCTGAGGCAGGAGAATCACTTGAATCCAGGAGGTGGAGGTTACAGTGAGCCGAGATCGCGCCACTGTCCTTCAGTCTGGCAACAGAGCAAGACTTTGTCTCAACAACAGCAAAAAAAAACAAGATATGGACATGGGCATTCAGAGAGTGTTATGAGTTGGTGGGGTGTCCACACTGGGTGGGGGCTGGGAGTGGTGCTGGTCAGAGCCTGAGCAGCAGACAAGACCTGGGTCAGCCCAGAGAGGAGCAGCAGAGCTCATGAAGGGTGAGGCTGGAGCTGGGAACCATGACTTTGTCATTTTCTAGCTGAGTGATCCTTTATCTTTGAGCCTACAGCTTGCCTTCACGGCACTTACCCAGGTCTTTTTCTTTATTTTGGTGATGCCCATACTTGTACAGCGCCTGGTACTTAGTGGACGCTTAATGAATGTTTTTGTTTATTTTTAAATTTTTATTTATTTATATAGTTTTTGAGACAGAGTGCCCCTCTGTCACCCAGGCTGGAGTGCAGTGGTACAATCTCGACTCACTGCAACCTCCACCTCCCAAGCTCAAGAGATTCTCATGTCTCAGCCTCTCGAGTAGCTGGGATTATAGGCGTGCACCACCATACCTAGCTAATTTTGTATTTTTACTAGAGACGGGGTTTCACCATGTTGGCTAGGTTGGTCTAGAACTTCTGGCCTCAAGTGATCCACTCACCTTGGCCTTTCAAAGTTCTGGGATTACAGGAGTGAGCCACCACACCTGGCCTTTTCTGTACCCAAGTGAGGCCCTTATTCGCTCCCCATCATCATTCATTCGAAAAGTCAGGTCCCAGGGGCTGTGCAGACAAGGGAATAGCCCCAGGCACGGCTGCAGGACTTGGGGACTAGCAGGCTGTTTCCTGAAGCTGGAGCCAGCACTGCCTCTGAAACCACAGTCACCTCCCCATAAAAATGTTCCTTCTCCGCCAGGTGTGGTGGCTCACACCTGTAATCCCAGCACTTTGGGAAGCTGAAGCAGGTGGATCTCTTGAGATCAGGAGTTTGAGATCAGCCTGGCCCTCCTGGTGAAACCCTAGCTCTACCAAAAAAAAAAATTAAAAATTAGCTGGATGTGGTGGTGTGTGCCTGTAGCCACAGCTACTCAGGAGGCTGAAGCAGGAGCATCACTTAAGCCTGGGAGGGGAAGGTTGCAGTGAGCCGAGATTATACCACTGCACTCCAGCCTGGGTGACAGAGCAAGACCCTATGAAAAGAAAAGAAAAGAAGAGGAGAAGAGAGAGAGGAGAGGAGAGGAGAAGAAGAAAATGTTCTTTCTTCTGTGGGAGGGCCTTTCTCCCTAGACAGGGCATTGGTGGGCAGCAGGGCTCTCATCATGGAGCTGATTCGGCCTCTTTCAAGACCTTCTCGGCGACCTGTTCACCCAGAGGATGGCCCCCAGCATGCTCAGGAACAGAGGCAGCTCCAGGAGAACCAGGACCAGGAAGTGAGTGCTTCTGAGCAGGGACCTGTAGGGACACAGTGACAGGAAATGAGCTGCCTCCTGAGTCAGAGGTCTCAGGTCTTTTCAGGTCTTCTCAGCTCTATGCCCAGATCCTGGCTTCCAGTGTCTATGTGAGGGCCAGCCTGGACCCCCCAGCCAGGCTGGCCCCCGTGGCGGGGCACAGTCAGGCTGCTCACCAGCGGGGCCTCCAGTCCTCCCTACACCCCTAGTAAGCTCAGCCTGGCGTTCAAGGTCCCGTCTGCTGACTCCCATGCAGCCTTTTGGCTGGTCTCACATAACGCCTCCTCACCTGTCTTGAAGGGGTTTAGCACTCCCTGTCTCTCCTTACCTCTGTTTCTGCTGCATTCTGCACCCAGAGGGCCTCCCCACCCTCATCACTACCTGTGCAAATGCTACCCACTTTTCAGGTATCAGATCTAACGTCATATCCTTGAAGGCCTTGGAGGTTTACCTTGCTCTGACCCTCTGCCCATGAATCCGCACCTGGCCCTGCAGTTCCTCACTTTCCCTGTTCTTTCTATGGGTGTGTAAGGCCCAGGACCTTACTGACCATCAGTTCCACCCCCTCGCCATCCTCCACCCACTTCCAAGGGTTTCAACCTCCCAAAGGGGGCCATCCTGGTTTCCTTCCCCTCCGCACAACTTGAGACCACTCTCAGCTCATGGATAAATTTTAAAAATCAGGCCAGACGTGGTGGCTTGTGCCTGTTATCCCAGCACATTGGGAGGCCAAGGCAGCAGATTGCTTGAGCCCAAGGGTTCAAGACCAGCCTGGGTAACATAATGCAACCCCAACTCAGAAAGAAAGAAAGAGAGAGAGAGAGAGAGAGAGAGAGAGAGAGAGAGAGAGAGAGAGA